GATAATTTGGATGGGTGAGCAAATACTTTTGGCAATGTAGTGTGTATACACAATTATCATTATTATGTTTTGTTTGTACTGCTTATATTCTGGTGAGCTCTATAGTTCAGAAATTGCAGTATTTTCTTTTTGCATAATTAAGTACATAAAGCACAAAAAGTTTGAAAAAGTACAGATTATTAAAGCTATTTAAATCTGTCCAGATGACCTGACTCAACGTTTTTGGGATTTATTTGCCTGGATGACTGAGCATGCATCAGGACATTAATTAAATTGTTAATTTATGGAAGAATCAATGAATGCAGTTGGGTGAAACTAGATATAATATTTACCACCAAAACTGGTCTGAAGCAAAGTTGAAGGATAAAAATGGAAAATGGTAAATGGACTGTACTTATACAGTGCCTTTCTATCTTATTTCAAGACACTCAAAGCGCTTTACACTACAATCTGTGTCCTCATTTACCCATTCGTACAGCACTCAGTAAAAAGTAAAACTACATGTACATGCCCTGCCTACAGACGTTTAATGATGTTGAAAATCTTGTCATGGTTAAATAACGATTACAACAAACTGTGTAGTTGCTTCTAACGACAGTCGCAGATAAATTTATTTGTACCCTTGCAGCTCAGCAAAACAATGCTTCATTTCTCATGAAAAGTGATTCAGTTAAAATAAATTATTTATCTGTTTCTTCTTCTTCTTTTCCCTCTTCAGGGGTCTCTACAGTGAGTCATCCTCCTTCTCACTCTGTCCTCACTCCAACTACCTCCATGTCCTCTCTAACTGCATCCATATATCTCCTCTTTGTCTTTTTCTTGGCAGCTGCATTTTCTAACATCCTTCTACCAATATACACACTGTCCCTCCTCTGGACATGTCTAAACCTCTGTCTCTCCTTTGGACATGTCTAAACCACTGTCTCTCCTTTGGACAAGTCTAAACCACTGTCCCTCCTCTGGACATGTCTAAACCACTGTCTCTCCTTTGGACATGTCCAAACCATCTCAGTGTGTCCTCTCGAACTTTATCTCCCAGTTCTTTAACCTGTGCTGTTCCTCTGATGATCTCATTTCTAATCTTATCCATCCTTGTCACTCCTAAGGAGAACCTCAACAGCTTCATTTCTGACAATTCCAGTTCTTTCTCCTGTCTTTTTGTCCATGTCTCTGTCTCCAGACCATACAATATAGCTGGTCTCACCACTGACTTGTAAACTTTTCCTTTGACCTTTGCTTTGATTTTGTCACAAATCACTCCTGAAACTTTTCTCCATCCATTCCATCCTGCCTGGACTCTCTTTTTCACTTCTTTACCACACTCACCATTTTCCTGGACAGTGGATGCCAAGTACTTGAAGTCCTGCACCTTTGTAACCTCTGCTCCTTGTAGCCTCACTGTTCCACCTCCTCCCTCTCATTAACACTCATGTACTCTGTCTTACAACGGCTGACTTTCATTCCTCTTCTTTCAAGTGCATACCTCCACCTCTCCAAGTTCTCTTCCACCTGTTCCCTGTTCTCACCACAGATCACAATGTCATGTGCAAACATCATCGTCCACGGGATTCCTGCCTGACCTCATCTGTTAGTCGATCCATCACCAGCAAAAACAAGAAGGGGCTCAGAGCCGATCCTTGATGCACTCCCACGTCCACCTTGAAGCTATCTGTCACTTCTACAGCACATCTCACCACTGTCCTTCTGTCCTCATACATGTCCTGTACCAGTCTAACATACTTCTCTGCCACTCCAGATTTCCTCATGCAATACCACACCTCCTCCCTCAGCACCCTGTTATATACTTTTTCTAAATCCACAAAGACACAATGGAGTTTTTTCTGACCCTCTCTGTACTTCTCCATCAGCATCCTCAAAGCAAAGATGGCATCTTTCTTGGAATGAAATTATACTGCTGCTTGTATTTAGTATTTGATAGAGCAAATAAAAATAGAAAACTAATTTGTAGGCACCCTGAAAAAGACTTAATCCTTGCATTTGTCATATTTCAAATGAAGTGTTTAACCTTAAGATGCTTTTCACCTGACATTCAGTCTTTAAATGGAACAAACATGCTATATTGTGTGCACCACACTGAACATTTGAATTGAAAAAGCAAAAGAGAGAGCTGTCAGAGGAGCTCAGAAGGGTTATAGATATATAAGTTAAAGAAAAAGAAGCTTCATGTTCCAGTGACTCCAGCTGCCAATATTAGTAAAAAAATAAGGTCCAAGAGACTGTAGCTGACCTCCCAGGACAAGACGCAAGGTGAACTGCAACCCCAGGTTGATTATAGACAGTGTGGACGGTAGAAGAAAAAAAAGAGCCAAGAAAATTTCCAAAACTACTCTAGCCAAACTCCAAGAACAAAGTTCTTTACATTTTGACAGCACCAAATCACATTTTGATTCATAATGAGCTCCACAGCAAAAGACCCAGAAGAGCTCTGCTATAGGAAGACAAAGAAAATAAAACAGGAATTTTCCTAAATGCATGTCGACAAGCTACAAAGTTTCTGGGCAAAAGTCACATCATTTGTTTTTTGACTATTGTAGAAATATATCAACAAATTTGTCCTTGTCTGTCCATCCCACAAGGATCGTAGTGATCCAGCCTCGACAGTGACTGACCTGGAAGCAGACGGAGCAGACATCATTATGTTGCTCCAGCTGCTGAGCTGTGGCTCTGGGTAGGGAGTTGATCTTCTTAGCAGCTTCCTGTCTGAGCAGGAAGCTCTTCCAGCCAGACTGAGCTCGGAGCCAGACGTTAAAGTATGAGTGGATGATAATGACAGAGGCTCCCATCCAGCTCCACTCCCCAAAAAGTGACTCCCAGGTGCCATAAGCCACCACGCAAAGAGCCACCAAAAACTCCAGCACTCTGCTGATGGCATTCACCCAGTAGATCACTTCATCCAGGCTCTCAATCGGGTCATTGCGAAACAGCTCCACCATAAAGAGAAAATAGATCAGCATTGTACCTGTAACCTGGAAGAAAATAAATATTTTTAAAGAACACTCACATAAAACAAGTATACATCTTTTCTGTCTTACATTCTGAGGTTATTCCAAAACATTTGAGGATGTGGGTTTAATCACACCAATACTTGAAAACCCAGTTCCAATCTGCCAGGTCAAAAGTGAACTTCAGGAGAATAACCATAAATGTGGGGCGACTGCTAACGTGGGTACATAGTGGGCTGAGGGTGAGGTGGGCAATGAAATGATGTACACAATTTACAATACAGTTTTACAAGCTGTGCAAGTAAAGAGGCTTTGATTCTTCAAAAACCAGACAAGCAAAGTGTGGTCACACAGCTTGATGGCAAACAACCCTCATCTCCGACAGTCACAGCCCAGTGAGACACTGGTTTTACTACAAGTTGTTCCCTTACATAAAAACTACAGTTAATGTGTGAATGTTTATCAAGCATTCTCACTGTTGTGATCCATTTTTCTGCCGTACATATTTCAGTGCGTTTCTCATCCAGCAGTTTTCAGCCATTTCAGCAAATCATAAATCAAAACGTTCAGCTCTTTCAGGACAATCCTGCTATGACTTTTGGTTTTGGTGCAACTTCAGCTTTTTTTAAATATTTAGCCTTTTCTGCCATTTTTTTTCTCTTATAGAAAATGATCTGAGCTCATTTTACATCCTTCGAATCTTTAGATGTGTTTACAACCTTTTACTGCTCCTCTACTGCACATTTTGTTCTGCTTCAGCTTCTTTCAGCTGCCTTCTGCAAATTTAAACTATTTCCAGCTACTTTCAGCTGTTTTGTGCTTTTTTCAGATTCTTTCTGCTAACTACAACATTTTTGTGCTTCTTCTAACTTCTTTCTACTAATTTCAGCTTGTTATGCTCCATTCAGCTGATTTCTGAATGTTTCAGTTTTTTCTATTATTTCAGCTACTATTTAGCTGTTTTCTGCTAATTCCAGCTTTTTCATGTAATTCCTTTTTTTTTTTTTTTTGCAGTCTTTGCAGTCGTTTAAACTTTTTTCAGCTTAGTTCAGCAAAAATGTGCTCTCTCCACTTCCTTCTGGTAATTTAAGCTTCTTTCTGCTTTTTTTTAGCTACTTTTCAGCTGTTTTTTTTTTTTTTGCCTATTTCAGCTTTTTTCAGATACTGGTAATTTCCACATTGTTGTGCTCATTTCTGCTTCTTTCAGCAAACATGTTTTTTTTGCTTTCTTCTGTTAATTTTAGCTTGTTCTACCTTTTCAGCTACTTATTTAGCATTTTTAGCTTATCTCAGCTGTTTTCAGATTTTCAAGCTAATTTCAGCTACTTTCAGCCTAATTAACTTCTTTCTGCTAATTTCAACTTGTTATGCTCCTTTCAGCTTTTTACTCTAGTTTCAGATTTTTCTGCTATTTCAGCTACGTTTGAGTTGTTTTTTGTGCTAAATTTAGCCTTTTCAGCTAATTCCACATTTTTTAGCTCATTTCAGCTTGTTCCACTTCCTTCTGGTAGTTTAAGCTGCTTTCTGCCTTTTCAACTACTTTTCAGCTATTTCTTGCTAATTTCAGCTTTGTTTAGCCAATTTCCTAATTTTTTGTGACAAATCCATCCATTATATTTACCCGCTTCTTCCTTTTCTGGTCATGGGGGTCACTGGTGTTCATGTCCAGCAGTCACTGTTTGAGAGGCAGGGTACACCCTGGACAGGTCTCCAGTCCATCACAGGGACACAGAGACAAACGAGACAAACAACCATTCACTCTCTCACTCACACCTAGGGACAATTTAGAGTTACCAATCAGCCTAACATGCATGTTTTTGGTCTGTGGGAGGAAACTGGAGTACCCGGAGTAAACCCACACATGAACGGAGAGAACATGCAAACTCCACCCAGAAAGGCCCCTGGAACAAGATTTGAACCGGTGTAACCTGCTCGCTGAGAGGCAGCAGCTCTACCAACTGCGCCACCGTGCTGCCCCATAAATAAAAGTCAAAACACAAAAAGTAAAAACACAAAAAATCTGACCAATAAAATAATCAAACAGGTCACAGTGGACCAATGAAACAGGGGGAGGGGATCTACATGCGCAGAGCAACTTTTGCTCAAGTCTACCAGTAGATCCTGACAGCTGAGCAGGCGGACAGCACAAGCAGTGCACAGGAGGAAGGTGAAGATAGAGATCAATCACTTCCTGGTAGGCTACTGTATTTCATTTTTTAACCAGCTGTGTTGCAGGCACTGTTCAAACAAAAAACATTTACTGTAAGTATTTGTGTAGGTTACGGTACAATTTAAATTAAATTAAATTAAAATATTTTTTAAACAAAAAAATCTTTGTGTAAATATCTCATTTTAAAACATGAACACCTGCGGCTAATAGACAAGTGCAGCCTAAATATGTACAAAATTATTATTATTATTATTATTACTTTATTTATTATTTTTGTGGGTGTGGTTTGTATTCTGGTGTGCTCAATAGTCTGGAAATTACAGTATACATAATCTAACAAAATTCTCCGGGTGCTCCGGTTTCCTCCCACAGTCCAAAAACATGCATGTTAGGCTGATTGGTAACTCTAAATTGTCCCTAGGTGTGAATGAGAGAGTGAATGGTTATTTGTCTCGTTTGTCTCTATGTGGCCCTGTGATGGACTTGCGACCCGTCCAGGGTGTACCCCGCCCCTCGCACAGTGATTGCTGGACATGGGCACCAGCGACCCCCGTGACCCAAAATGGAATAAGCGGGTAAAGATAATGGATGGATGGATAATCTAACAAAAACTTGCAAGAAAATGTGTGCATAGTCATATCAGCTCCATAAGTCGAGAAGAAAAGCTGCACATGGGTAAAATTTAAATGTTCATGTGGAAAATACTCGTTTTCTGCTGTATAACGACTTGCATTTTTAACATATACACAGTTCTCACCTGAAGGGAGATTAACATGCAGCTGGACACCAGTATAAGAAGCCAGAAGTCCATGTGGAAAAACTGGGAGATTTTATAAGCCATAAAAACTGGGAAAATCATCAGAAGCAGGCACATGCTGAGACCACGGAAATGTTTCCATAGACTTCTAAAAGCACCGGACAAACAGAGACACACAATAAGAATTATGGGAAAGCTTATACAACATGTTTATATATAGCTTAGTCAATTTCACTTGCATTTTGACAACGAAAATAAAACTATTGCTACAATTACCTGTTCCGTGATGCACCCAAGGCAAGAATAACCGGATCGGTTATTTCAATCATTGACTGCAAGGTTGAGGTCAACACGATGAAAAGGATGATACTGAGGAGGAAGGTGCGCTGCAGTGCCTGCATGTCCAACAGGCCTGTCTGCAGGGCAAGCAGGAGCAGAGTGACACCCTCTGTCACACCTCTGCAAGCACAAAAAACTCTTTATGAAAAAATTTAAACTAGATTTGTACAATACACTGCTGACCTAAAACTAAATATGCATCCTCCATTAAAATCCCTATTTTAGGAAGAAAAAAAAATTAACATCCTTTCAGTTACTCTGGATTGCATTAACTTGGCCTTCATTACTTTCTAATCAATAATAATAATAATAATAATAATAATAATAAATAACAATAATAATAATAATAATGTGACTTTTTGACCAAAATATATCAATAAACTCCCACATATAGAACATTACTACAATATTACAAAACAGGCTTGACTATTGTAATTCTTTATCATCAGGATTTCCATAAAAACATTTAAAAAGTCTTCAGTTGCTCCAAACTGCTGCTGCCAGAACCTGATGCTGATCATCAGTAACAACCAAGCTCCATCAAAGATTCAGATGTCCCATAGTTTCCTAACAGAGCACTTTGCTCTCAGACTGCAGGTTTACTTGTGGTTCCTAGTTTCTCCAAGTAGACCTGGAAGCAGAGCTCTCAATTACTGTATGTTTAGTTTTAAAGCTAATGTTTTTACTTCAGCTCTAAGTACTATAAAACACAAGCATCTGATGCTTTTAAGTGAAGAAATGACATTTTCAGCACTTCCTCCTCTCTGTCGTCAACTGCACATAACACATGCTAACTTGAACTGTTGTAATATTAAAAACATTGTGTGGAAACCCTAATTTCTGATGCTATAGTTCAATTAATGTGCTTTACAGTTTTTCTCGAGGTCTAAATACTGTACATGATTGTGCTTAAATTTACAGTAACCAGTTTTAAGCAAAACAAGCTCACTGGTGGAAGCATCTCACCTGTGCATGACGTTCTCATTCTGAACCGCTGCATAACCTCCCAGGCAGAACTTGCATAGGTTGAGAAGTCCAAGAGCCAGATATGACACCACAAAGGTCAGACCCAGAAGGGAGTACGGTGTGGCACAACATTCAGACACACTACAGGGTCGATAAATACAGCAAAGTAAATACCAAACTATAAACCAATGTTGGGAAAGAACATGAATAAACCACATAACGTGACACCTTAATAACAGGAAGAACAATATTCCCTGATGGGTTGCTGTGGTGCTGACAGACATAATGTCTGAGAAGAGCTGGACGGTGAACAGAACAAACCAGAAGACACTGAAGAGGACCGGGACAGCAAACTGGTTCCACAGAGAGACTCCCACGGCTAAAAGCCTGTAGAGCTCGATCACCTGCAGGAGAGAAAGCCCAAAACAATGAGGAGGATTCAAACAAGTTTTATAAATTATTCATGACTTGTTGAGTTTTTGTTCGAGTACCTCAAGGTGAAGCAGTTCTGAGTAGGCAGCCCTTGCGAGACGATATGGCACAAAAACATTGGAGAGGAGGAACATGGCCATCCCAGCTACAGTCAGTCCAACAGAGAAAGTGTTGAGCATCACCAGTGAACCATGAGGAGCAGCGAAGAGTCGGGCCAGCAGGGGGAGCATGTGCATAGAGAATAACCACACCTTCCTGGTCTTCATCAGGAAGGCACACAGCGTGCTGAGAATGATCTGACCTTCATTTAACAACAAATAAATAAGATTATAAACGTCAACCTACCACCCCCACAATAACAAACAGCCAGCTTCATTTCTGCCAGATAAAATGTCTTCATCAACTAAACTATGACTGCAAGATTATGAGAAGTTAGTTGTACATTTAATGTAAATATGCATGTGTGAATGATAACTCATGTATTGATGCTTAATGCACAGAAATCCACTGCAGCCATGCTGTATTTAATCTATCAGAACAACTTTGTTTTGGACACTTTGGTGGTAATGAGTGCGCCCCTTGTAGGTTCTTTAACTTTTAACATAAAACACTTGTGAGAACCCATCGCATAAAGTGATTATAAATGAATTTATTTATATAATAATAATAATAATAACAAATGGCCCCACTACAATATTGCTTATAAAAATGCTAATTTTCATTTCTGGATGGCAAACCTAAGCTTCCGATTAAGAATTATTATAAATAGTAAGCAAAACATGTAATTAAAGAAAAGCCATACATTTCATTCAACCTTTATTTATACAGGTTATTCTCATAGAGTCATGGGGACTCATTTATAAGAGAGACCTGTTTTAAACAAAGAACACAGAAGAGGTACACACAAGAATAAGCAGTTATAAAAAGCATATAAAATGAAATAAAAACGACTACATTATACAACGGGGTAAAATAATAAAAACAGGAACATGTCTGCATTGATTTTTGCATTGAACTTGACAATTGTTTAAAATCCCTTAGAGAAGTCAAAGTCATCAACTTCAGATCTTTTTGCAAGGTGTTCCAGGTTACAGGAGCGGGGTAAGAGAAGGCCCTGTTGCTGAATTCAGTCCACACTGAGGGGACGCTGCAGGTAATAATGTCCTGAGAGTGCACGCTGTAGCTGCACTGACAACGAGACATGAGATATATGGTAAATTGACTGTACTTATATAGCGCCTTTCTACCTTTTCGAGATACTCAAAGTCTCTTACAACAATCTGTGCCTCATTTTCCCATTCATACAGAACTCTAGATCTCTACAAAGCTAATTGAACAAATAATTCTAAAGAGACTAATCAGAGCTTTAGATTACATTCATACACTGATGGGACACACATTGGAGGCAGTGAGGGGTTCAGTGTCTTGCCTAGGGACACTTCAATATGTGACTGCTGGTGGATTCGAACTCCCAACCCTTGCATTGGAGGACGACTGCTCTAACCACTCAGACACAGCCCCCCACATGAAGGCAGCAGACCAAGAAGTGATGTAAAGATGAAAATATACCAGTGTGAGAGTCTGCGTGAAGTTAATGATGACCAGTTAACCAATGAATACAGAGTGCAGTGATGTGCACTGTAGTGACAGACAGTTATGGGCGGCTGTGGCCGAGTGGTTAGAGCAGTCGTCCTCCAACGCAATGGTTGGGTGTTCGATTCCACCAGCAGTCACATGCCAAAGCGTCCCTGGGCAACACACTGAACCCTTCATTGTCTCTGATGTGTGTCCCATTGGAGTATGAATGTGATAAAGCTCTGATTAGTCTTTGTACAGAAATAGCAGAGTGAATGGGTAAATGAGGCACAGAAGTGTAAAGCGCTTTGAGTATCTTGATAAGATAGAAAAGTGCTAGCTATATAAGTGCCGTCTATTTATGAACCTTAGTGAATAATTACTGAATAAAAATGTCTTTGTTTCTTAAAATAATCTGTAGAGTCTGTGCAGTGTAGGGACAGAGGGAGGGCATTCCAGAGCCACAGAGCCACCGCCTGAAAAGTGCAGTCTCCACAGGTTTTAAAACAGGTTCGGGGTACAGTCAATAATATTTGACTCGAAGACCTCAGATTCCTAGACAAAGTTAAAGAATCACAAGAGTTAATGACTGGCCACCATGCAAATTAATGTTTAATGCCAAGATTTCAAATTGATTAGGGATTGTTTTAGCAGACACCAGATGTGAATCCAGGCTGAATCTAATATAAATTGTAACACCACCTTCCTTTCTATGACAATCAGAATGATAAATATTAATCCATCAAAATGACACATCTTTATCTAAAATTGATTTAGATAACCAAGTTTCAGAAATAGTAATTATATTTTAACCAGCTGAACAAACCCATATCTTCAGCATATCAATTTTACGAAGGACACTACGTGCATTTACGTGCAAAAAATGTAGTCCTGATATGTTTTGAAAGTTTTTTGGGGTGCTGCATTGTGTGGGAGGTCCAGGGTTAGGCTGGATCCCGGACAACAGAAGGAGCATCATGATTAAACATTTCCTTGTGTTTTTTTGTAGCAGAGGTATAGTTAATGGAACTGATATTGTGGCACTTGGCCACAATAATCATTCCATGGTGAGATGAATTTATAAAGGCATGATTACTTAGAACCCAAAAGCAATGAAGTTGGCAAGGATGGGCAAATCCAGATGCGTTAATAAGGTTCAATGGCTCCAAATAATCAAAATCAAAATACTGAAAATTATGAAGATGGAGAAACTTCAGGTCCACAGAGCTGGACACCCACACGTGAATAAAGCTGAAGGACTTATATACTGTATGTATGTATGTACTGCACATTCAAAGAAGAAAATCATTCAACACTTGCTCTTCACAAGGGCGGACGTCTCCTCCTCTCCCTCTCCGCTTTGCTTTTGCTCTGTCCAGTCTGTGAAACTGCTTTAGAGCCTCTCTTCTACAAATCTTCCGAATTATAACTATGGGCTTGGATTTGGTCAGTTGGTCCCTCAACACAATTGATATTTCTTTGAAGAGAAGACAGGCTTTAGGCGAGCCGATTTGCCCTGTTGACACGCACGCAGCTGGATATCTCATCGACTTTGAAGACTTGATGACGTGTCTATCTCTGCTGTCATCTGTAGATTTTAAGGACGCATTTATAATTGGATTTATGATAACTGGTTCCTGTTTTTTGGATTCGGCTGGTTCCTGGTCTATCAAAAAACAAGGAAGTCATCGGCAGCAAATCTGGACCTGGTCAGGCTGCCTGCCTTATATGATGGCTTGGTTCGTGCCTCGAGCACCCAGACTTTTTTGCAGAATGGATCAGATCTCGGGGATTATTCTCAGGCACGTTCCATTTGTATGGTCATTTAATTTGGACGTTTCGGAAGCGAGTGGACTGACACAGACTCAAGGTAGATGTCATTAAAGTTCTGCATGTCCCCAAAACAATCGTGTTTATCTGAATTTGGCTCCCTGACTGGCCTTGACAGGCCATCTTACAGTGAGGAAAATAAGTATTTGAACACCCTGAGACTTTGCAAGTTCTCCCACTTAGAAATCATGGAGGGGTCTGAAATTTTCATCTTAGGTGCATGTTCACTGTGAGAGACATAATCTAAAAAAAAAAAAATCCAGAAATCACAATGTATGATTTTTTAAAATAATTTATTTGTGTGTTACTGCTGTAAATTAATATTTGAACACCTGCCAATCAGCAGCAATTCTGTCCCTCAAAGACCTGTTAGTCCACCTCCACTCCACTTATTAATTTAAATTAGAAGCACCTGTTTGAGGTCGTTATCTGCATAAAGACACCTGTCCACCCCACACAATCAGTAAGACTCCAACTACTAACATGGCTAAGACCAAAGAGCTCTCCAAAGACACCAGAGACAAATTGTAGACCTCCACAAGGCTGGAAAAGGCTACGGGGCAATTGCCAAGCAGCTTGGTGAAAAAAGATCAACTGTTGGAGCAATTATTAGGAAATGGAAGAAGCTAAACATGACTGTCATTCTCCCTCGGACTGAGGCTCCATGCAAGATCTCACCTCGTGGCGTATCAATGATCCTAAGAAAGGTGAGGAATGAGCCCAGAACTACACGGGAGGAGCTGGTCAATGACCTGAAGAGAACTGGCACCACTGTTTCCATGGTTACTGTGGGTAATACACTAAGACGTTATAGTTTAAAATCATGCATGGCACGGAAGGTTCCCCTGCTTAAATCAGCACACGTCCAGGCCCATCTTAAGTTTGCCCATGACCATTTGGATGATCCAGAGGAGTCGTGGGAGAAAGTTATGTGGTCAGATGAGACCAAAATAGAACTTTTTGGTCTTAATTCCACTCGCCCTGTTTGGAGGACGAAGAATGATGAGTACCATCCCAAAAACACCATCCCTACTGTGAAGCATGGGGGTGGAAGCATCATGCTTTGGGGGTGTTTTTCTGCACATGGTAAATGGTACATGGACTGTACTAATATAGTGCCTTTCTATCTTATCAAGAAACTCAAAGCTCTTTACACAACAATCTGTGCCTCATTTACCCATTCATACAGCACTCTACAAGATCTCTACAAAGCTAATTGAACAAATCATTCTAAAGAGATTAATCAGAGCTTTATCACATTCATACACCAATGGGACACATATCAGAGGCAATGAGGGGTTCAGTATCTTGCCCAGGGACACTACGACATGTGACTGCTGGAGGATTCGATCCCCCAACTCTTGCAATGGAGGACGACTGCTCTAACCACTCAGCCACAGCCGCCCCACTTACTGGGACAGGACAACTGCACTGTATTAAGGAGAGGATGACCAGGACCATGAATTGGGAGATTTTGGGGAACAACCTCCTTCCCTGAGTTAGAGCATTGGAGATGGGTCGAGGCTGGGTCTTACAACATGACAATGACCTGAAGCACACAGCCAGGAGAACCAAGGAGTGGCTCCGTAAGAAGCATATCAAGGTTCTGGAGTGGTCTAGCCAGTCTTCAGACCTAAACCCTATAGAAAATCTTTGGAGGGAGCTCAAGCTCTGTTTTTCTCAGCGACAGCCCAGAAACCTGGCTTATCTAGAGAAGAGCTGTGTGGAGGAATGGGCCAAAATCTCTGCTGCAGTAAACCTGGTGAAAAACTACAGGAAACCTTTGACCTCTGTCATTGCAAACAAAGATACTGCACCAAATATTAACATTGATTTTCACAGGTGTTCAAATACTTATTTGCAACAGTAACACACAAATAAATTATTTTAAAAATCATACATTGTGATTTCCGGATTTAAAAATGATTTTTTTTATTTTTTATTATATCTCTCACAGTGGACATGCACCTAAGATGAAAAGTTCAAACCCCTCCATGATTTCTAAGTGGGAGAACTTGCAAAGTCGCAGGGTGTTCAAATACTTATTTTCTTCACTGTATCTCAACCCACCTGGAAAGTTTTGTAAACATGATGCTCAGTCACCCTCCTCTCCTACTGAGGAATTTCCATAGACTTTTCAGAGGAGCCCAGCTGAATAAACATTCTGTCATCATTTCAGGACTCTGGATTTGTCTCTGGTCGTCCTCGGCACCCCCTGATTATGCATGGATCTCTCCAGAGGGAACTATTTGAACTGAGTAATTTTATCTGAACTCTGCAGTGCCTCTGTGTGTTGTCTCTGGCTGCTCACCCCCCTTGCGTTCCCCCCACCCCTGCGTAATGTTGGGGTCATTATGAGCTCGTGTGCAAGATTTTTTTTCGTTTCAGATGATCTGACTGAAAATTGTTGAAAGGGTATGAATGTGACACTCGGCACTCTATAAAAATCAATGCTCAGCAGATTGATCATACCGAGAAGATAAATACAACACAGTCATTGGGCAGCATTAGAAGGTCCATCTTCACAGTTTCAATAGATAAATAAGGCAATCCTTTGAGCCAAAATACTCAACGACTGAACTGGAGTTTTGTTGTAGTACTCACTCGTCATGGCAGAAACAAATCTGTTGAAGGCTACAGAATCACAGTACACTGCCCCATCATATCCATTCTGCAGCTCCTCGTGAACATAATCCCTTCAAAATATGAAGAAAAAACATTTTAATTACAGAATCACAGGAACGTCTTCTTGATAAATATTTAAAGAACAAATTAAATTAATCTGTTCATGCGCAACAAAGTTCAGTCAAGTCCTCTGGACGGTTTCTTTTTATTGAAACGTTTCGTCTTTCATCCAAAATACTTCTTCAGTCCGAGGAGTCACAACTAACTCAGTGGTATTAATAGCACCTTCACATAATGGGATAGAACTGTCATTTCTAATCCGAACCCGGAGCCTGGCGCCGCCCGACCCGGATTCGGACCGGGCCATAATAATGTGCTTAATGTGTGGGCTGGGTCGGTGTCGGGCTTTTTATTGCGTCAGGGACGCACATGGCCGACGATACAATATATGCAAACATGGCTTGCCATACAACACCTGCTACACCCGGCCATTTGACGGCCGACGACCCAAACAGGTGAGATCACAAAATATCCGACATGTCAGAGCAGGCATGCAGGCAGAAGCAGGGGAAGCATTTAATGCACTTTGATGGCTCCTCAGCTCCGATCTTCTGCCCCTTTTACTCAGACGCATGCATCCACCAACCATTAATAATAGTCAGTGGTATACGCAGTCACAGCTTAATTAAAAATGTGGATTTTTTTCGGGCTCGGACCTGTAATAATTACTGTTAATTCGTTGGATCGGGTGGGGTTCGGAGCTGACGGCTACGGGCTGAGTCGGTTCGGATTATTTGGACCAGAGTGCAACTCTATAGTGGGAAAAACAAACCATAGAACCATAAAAACCGTCCAGAAGACCTGACTTATTTTGTTGGATTCTTTACCAGGATTGTTGAGCATGAACTTTGATGTTTTGAACAACTTTGGCCATGACTGCCTCAGACGAGTCGGAGGGAGAGAAAGCAGACTCCAGAAACCAACTTATCACCATCAAACTGGTTGACCTATGGTACTGCGTTTGTTGTGGCTCCACAGACTGATGAAGTCTTTTGGATGAAAGATGAAACGTTTCAATAAAAAGAAACTGTCCAAAGGACCTGACTTAACTTTGTTGGATTTGTCTACCTGGATTATTGATCTTAAACTTTGATAATCTGTACATTTAATTATATGAAGTGTTAGGATACTTTACAAGAAGTTGTAAAGGTTGAGATGTTTTTCAAAGCTTGATGCAAATTAACTCACTCCACATAGTAGTCTTAAAATTTAAATACATCATGAAGGCAGGAATGCTGAAAAACTGCATGGCCACTGACATCTGAACTGTCTCTATGCGCTTTGAGTATCTTGATAAGATAAAAAAGGCACTGTATAAGTACAGTCCCACCAATAACAGGAAGATATTCAGATTACAGTGCTTATGAGTTGCATATAGGATATATTCCATTCATTACTACTAATGATATGTAAGTGTTCTTTGTCTCAAGTATAAATTATCACCATGCTACCCAACAAAGTTAAGTCAGGTCCTCTGTACAGTTTCTTTTTGTTGAAACGTTTCATCTTTCATTCAAAGACTTCATCTGTCTGAAGAGCCACAACAAACTCAGTCCCATAAATAACACATTCACATAGTGCGCCAACCAGTTTGACGGTGCTAAGATGGTTTCTGGAGTCTGCCCTCTCCCCCGCCGACTCGTTTGAGTCAGTCATTGCCAAAGTGGTTCAAAACATCCTGATTCATGCATCCAGGTAGAAAAATCCAACAAAGTTAAGTCAGGCCCTCTGGATGGTGCGGCTGCCTCAAACAAGTCGGCGGGGGAGAGGGCGGACTCCAGAAACCATCTAAACACCATCAAACTGGTTGACCCACTATGTGAAGGTGCTATTTATAAGATTACGTTTGTTGTGGCTCCTCAGACTGATGAAGTCTTTTGGATGAAAGACAAAACCTTTTAACAATAAGAAACTGTCCAGAGGATCTGACTGAACTTTGTTGGATTTTTCTACCTGGATTACTGAGCATGCATCAGATCTCCACACTACATAACACAGGGACGCCAACCCCCACTATGCCTTAATGATTTCCATGTCTTCCAAAATTCCAAACCTCATTCAAGTTTCTTTCTCATCACAAAAGTGTGGCGTTAATCAAACACTTGCGTCCAGGCTGGCTCTGCAGGAAACTAGGTCATGTATTTCAAAGCAACAGCGTGCAACACAAAATGCAGCAAAAACCCTGATAAGTCAAACTGCAATCAAAAGGTAAACACCTCAACATAATCCAACTAAAATCATTACACAAATTACACAAATGAATAATCTATGTTTTAATGGAATAATTCTGTGCATTTATGTACTCTGATGACCATTAGGACTGGGTGGTGCTGGAGCTGAAAGCTGATACCGGGGCAATAAATCTAGATAAGTACGAACAGAATTAGTAATATAGAAACTCACTTGGAAATCTGATGCCCTATGTACAGAAGAAGGGCTACAAGGATATGAAGGTAGAGCGTCACAATGTGCCTCAACGGCAGAACTAATACGACTGCATTTATCAGGTGACCTGGAAAACAAAACAGAGCATTCATATTTTGGTGTGTGTGTGTGTAACATGATCAGCTAAGAGCAAAAATAATAATTACAAAAAAGTGAAATTTAAAAAAATTCAGCAGTCATTAGCGACAGTGGTAAACTTTATTCAGAAAGCTTTAGTTTACTGTAATCAAGTTCAAGTCTCTTTATTGTCATTCACGTCACATATGGTAAATGAGGTGGAATTAAATTGTGTACTCAGGGCCCCAGTGACACCCAAATAGCAAAAATATAAAATATAAAAAGAAACAGTATACAGTAGTCCTTTGCTACTTCACGGTTTGTTTATCACGACTCACTCTATCAAGGTTTTTCAAAATAAGATTGGACATGAAACTCAATTGGCTGATTGATGGGTGAGCCACACAGCCAGCATGGAATTTTTATTTTACATAAATTATTGTAAATTATTTAGCACCTGCTGCACCTCTGTGCAGCCCACACTGCATGATAAACTTCCTTCCTGCTGCAGCTGATCAGCTGTTCTCCTTGCAGAGCGGAGAAGTGGGCGTGGCCAAGAACACTTGCAGGTGGCAAAGAGCAGAGGAGGCAGAGAGCTGAAATCATGACATTCTGTGCTCTTTTAGAACTTTTAGAGTTTAGAAACATTGTTTAGAATATTGCAAGAGTGTAGATCATGCTGGTAGTGTTGTTGCCCCAGCTGATGTTGTCACTCAGGTGAACACCCAAGTACTTGGAACTGGAGACCACTTCCACCACAGATCCTCTTGTGGGGGTAGGTGTGTTTGTTCCTTCTGAAATCCAGGATCATCTCCTTCATCTTCTTCATATGTTCTTCCTGCACCAGCTTTCCAGGTGTTCCACCTCCTGCCTGTAGCTGAACTCATCGTTGTTCGTGATGCATCCAACCACAACTGCATCGTCTGCAAACTTTACAATGTGATGGCCTGGATGGGTAGGTGTACAGTCATATGTGAGCAGAGTGAACAGGAGGGGGCTCAACAAACAGCCCTGAGGGGAGCCAGTGCTGAGGGTTATGGTGGAGGAGGAGAAGTTGTGGATCCTCACAGACTGCGGTCTGTTGGTTAAAAAGTCCAGGACCCAGTTGAATAGGGAGGGGCTTAGTCCTATTGTGAGTAGTTTGTCCATCAGGGGCTGGGGGATCATGGTGTTGAAGGCAAATGTGAAATCCATAATGAGCATACGTACGTAAGAGTCTTTCTACTCCAGGTGGGTGAGAGCAGTGTGGACCACAGCAAGTAGGTATCTCTGCAGCCAAATTCTGAAGGCGTATCTGGGCGGTCATATCTGATTGGACTATAGGAAAATGGGCGTATCTGGGCGATCATATCTGATTGGACTATATGAAAAAAGGCGTGTCTGGCCGGTCGCATCTGATTGGACGATGGAAAAATGGGCGTGTCTGGTCGGACATATTTGATTGGACGATAGGAAAATAGGCGTGTCTGGCCGGCCACATCTGATTGGACGATAGAAAAAAGGCTGAACGATAAAATGCCGCAACCACAGACACATTATGTCTAAAAACAAGGTGTTATTGGCAGATTGTGTTAACCACAGGCATATTATGTCTATGGTGTTAACCGGTTCGACATTAGCGGCGTCTCAGGTTCAACACTGGCGGCGTCTCGGTTCGACATTGCTCCAGTATACTGCCGCGGCGTCTCCATAACTTCTTTTTCGACTCTCTTAACACAGAACTTCCGGTTATATTTCAAAATAAGAGCAACATAACTGGGTAGTGGGGAGAGCTAAATGTTAGGTTTTTTTTTAATACCTAGCCATAACATTAAGAAACAAATCCCATTTTGGTTGTTGAAAAATGTGAACAAAGTTACAATCGATTCATAAAGAAAGAAAAATATTAATGATACTTAAACTGGCCTTGGAACAAAGGATGTTTCCTTTAACTTCACATTGTCTTGTTCAACCTGCAGTCACTACAGATGAGTGATTGTCAGTTTCTGTAAGACTTCTGCAACTGGAGCAGGTATTTCTGTTTACTGGTTAATTTCATCAGCTTTCTCACATTTTAAAGGTCAACCCTACTCCATGTTTCAGTAGAAAACAAGCACATTTAGGAGTCAGTACATAACCAGACTTTTGGCCCTCACACCTATACCCAGTTGCTTATGCTGCATGATGAGATCAGATTTATCCATATTTTAGAAATTACATTTAGCTTAGTCGACAAAACAATACAAATGAAGACCGTCTTAAAAAACCTCTTGGTTTTGCAGTAAGCAGCCTGATTTCAAACTGACATCTTGGCCAAAGGTAAAATAAAAATCTTTGTGTTCTCAGAAAAGTTGTTTCAGGACCTCCAATAAACTTATGTACACATCAAAGCACACAAGACAGATTCAGGAATTCTCTTTGTTTTCCAGATTTCACATTTGTTATTACCTTAAAACATACTCAGACAACATTTGATGCATCATTGAATTTTTTTTATTGTGTTTATTGGGACATCCATTTTTAGAAGTCATCGTAGCATCTGTTGGAAACACAGAACATAGTACAGTTAGGGTGTTGCTAGTTGTTACTTAATCCTGGATTGGATTTTAAAGTTAATTTTGATATTTTTTTCACAAGAAAAAAAAAGTTGATTTCCTAAAGTTTAACTATAAATGAAGGAATTTGTGCATTCAGGTAATTGAAAATTAAGTAATTTCTCTAACATCCAACCCATTTTAGCCACTGAGCCATACCAAACACCCATAATCTATTCTTGAATGAATTATTGACTATTATTGACAAATTACAGACTTTTTATTGAATAAGTTATTACTCATTATTGAGTAATGAAAGTCAACATCAGATGTTGGTCAACATTGTTGGGCAACATCTTGGGGTCTTCTAGAGTCAACCTGAAGTGAGAGTGGTCCCTGACATGGCAGAAAGACATAGATATAATTAACAGCTTTTATTTATTTATTTTTCAGCTAATAACAACTTTTATTTATTTGTTTTTCATATTTTTCAGTTATACACAGCTTTTAAATATTTATTTTTCAAGTATTAAGAACTTTTATTTTCAGCTTTTATTTTGAAATGGAGCCGAGTGGAGGCTCACTTTACCTCAGTGCGTTACGACAACGAGAGAACGGTCGAAACTATCGTGACCTACAATAAACGTACTTCAATAAAATGCATAAGTGAAAACATAACATACTTTATAAGTACAATAAACCATATTTCTTTGTCAAACATCGCAAAGAAACGTTACCTCATCAATGACTCGTGACTTTGAGGGTTACCCACAGCCAATCAGTGTTCGCCGCCGACAAACACCTATTAAATACTGTTAGCCAATCAGTGTTCGCCGCCCATAAACGCCTATTCGCCAGAAACGCCCACTTTTGGTCTGCAGAGAACCCCTTCTCGACCACAGAGGAGATGGCATCCACTGTTGATCGATTCTTGTGGTATGCATACTGGTGTGGGTCCTCACTAATGTTGATGGTAGCTTTGATGTGGACCATGACCAATCTTTCAAAGCATTTAGCGACTATCAGGGTGAGGGCTACTGGCTGGTAGTCATTCAGTCCCATCACTGCAGAGCTCTTGGGAACTGGGAAGATAGTGGCAGTCTTCAGGCAACTGTTACCAGGGTGATGGAGGAGTTAAAGATGTCGACCAACACCTTGCAGAGCTGACTGGTACAGTCTCTCAACACCCTCCCCAGGATGTTGTTTGGGCCAGTGGCTTTGTGAGGATTAATCCTCCTGACGGTCCTCCTTACTTCTGCTGAGGTCATGCTGAGGAACTCCTCTTCAGATGGTGATGTGAGTTTGGTGCTGGGTGGTCTATTTTGGTCTTTAAAATGGGCATAGATCTTGTTAAGAATATCAGGTAGTGATAGATCTCTAGGGCTTTAAGCACCTCTGCTTTTATAGTCTGTGATGCACTTAATGCCCTTCCACATGCTCCATGGGTCTTGTGAGGAAAAATGTCCTTGAATCTTCCTTGTGCAAGTTGCTTTGGCCCTCATCATACCATAAACCTTTTCCTGTCCTCCCCAGTTCCTGTGAGGTGTCAGACCTGAAGGCAGTATCCCTGGATTTCAGCAGGGTACGGACCGCTGCGTTCAGCCAGGGTTTCTGGTTCAGGTAGCACTTCACAGTCCTGGTGGTGGTGACATCTTCAGAACACTTGCTGATATACCCGAGGGCAGCAGATGTGTATTCTTCCAGATCCATTTCTCCCTCATTTAAAGCAGCCTCCCTGAAGATCTGCCAGTCTGTTGTAGGGCCACACGGTGATGGTTTTCTGTGTTGGTCTGGAATGTCTCAGTGGGGGGAAGGTAGACAGGGGCCATAAAGATGGAGATGTGGTCAGAGAGGCCAAGGTGGGAGCGGGGTACGGCTTTATACGTGCCAGATGCAAGTGTAAAGGCTGTCTAATGTGTTATTTCCCTGTGTTGGTATGGTCACGTGCTGATAAAATCTTGGTAGATCTTTCAGGTTTACGTGATTAAAATCACCAGCCACCACATAAAAAGCCTCCAGATGCTTGTTTTGGAGCGATCTGATGTAGCTCCCGTAGGGCATCTTTAGTATTAGCATCCGGGGATATAGACAACAATGATATAAATCGTTAAAAACTCACGAGGTAAATAATGTGGTTGACATTTCACAGTCAGTTGTTCTAAAGCACCGGAGCAGGAACTTTTTTTTATCAGAACACAGTTTGTGAACCAACCTTTGTTCACATAAATGCATACACCACCACCCTGTGCTTTCCTGCTTTCCCCGTTAGTTTGCTGCAGAGATCCCCCCCCCCCCCCCCAAAAAAAAAAATCTGTCATCCAACTGGAAGGCTGAGTTCAGCATGTTGCTATTAAGCCAAGTTGAGTACAGCACAGTTCCTCATTTCTTCTAAGGCACTCACTCTCAGTCGCAGCAGATCCAGCTTGTTTTCAAAAGAATGGATGTTGACCAGGAATAGAGACTGGATCAGCAGTAGTCTGTTAGCATTAGCCTTAGCATTAGCCTTCAGTCTTGCTAACGCACCGGCCCGTCTGCCCCTCTTCTTCCCCCAAGCACAGCATCTCCTCCTCCCCTTCTGAGCGCTGTAGTCTCCATGCTGATCTTTGCAGAAGCTGCAATCTGCCAAGCGTAGTTTTCAGATTGTTGTTGATCGCTGCTGTATTCGGAGTCAAACCTTCTCTTATGCTAATAAGTTTGGTTCAGCTATAATTCACATGCTTAAAGCAAGTGGAGTCAGGCTCTGAGCCATATTCAAAATTTAAAAAAACATGGGTTTCCACCGGGAGCCTGAGAAGCTGCGGCCCGGCTGAGTGCGGCCATTTTGGCACGGAACAAATATAAGCATTCAAGCTATTTTTAAAGACTTTTTCTGCGGAACCAGCAGCTTGATCAACAAAGGAAAACAAATAAAGTATTGATTGACAGACTTCCACAAGTCTCACAAACGTCAAAAATTTCAAAAAAATGTGTAGTTTCTTATGAAGGTCAAAGTAATGTTTCATGCCTGAGTGCTTGTTTGTCTGCTGCGTTAGCAAAATGTCTCACTAACAACTGGACATAAGTAATGAATAACATTAGTAATTGAACATTAGAATAGCAGAAAGTAATTGCTCCATATCCAGAACTTATTGATTTTTGGAGTAAAACCAATTCAAAAAGGCCACCCCATGTAAACCCTTATAGCAAATACAGAAATAACAATAACATCAATTTTACAACTGTTGAGCTATAATGTGGTGTGGTAGTAACTAAGACTGTTCCCCAATGTGTAATCCAAGGGCAAATTGATCGCAAAATATCCATCTTTAAAACTTTACTTTTAACTATATAAGAATAAATTCTGCCTGTTAGCAAAATACTTCATGAATCACTGGACAGACTTCAATAAAACTTTCACAAAGCAACCATTAAAAGTACAAACCGGATTCCAAAAGAGTTGGGACACTAAACAAATTGTGAATAAAAACTGAATGCAATGATGTGGAGATGGCAAATGTCAATATTTTATTCATATTATAACATAGATGACGGATCAAAAGTTTAATCTGAGTAAATGTAAAATTTTAAAGAAAAAATAGTTTGATTCAAAATTTCAGTGTCAACAAATACCAAAAAAGTTGGGACAAGTAGCAATAAGTGGCTGGAAAACGGAAATTGAGCATATAATGAACAGCTGGAAGACCAATTAACACTAATTAGGTCAACTGACAACATGACTGGGTACAAAAAGAGCTTCTCAGAGTGTCAGTGTCTCTCAGAAGCCAAGATGGTAAGAGGATCACCAATTCCACCATTGTTGCGCAGAAAGATAGTGCAGCAATACCAGAATGATGTTACCCAGCGTAAAATAGCAAAGACTTTTAAGTTATCATCATCAACCGTGCATAACATCATCAAAAGATTCAGAGAATCTGGAACAATCGCTGCGCGTAAGGGTCAAGGCCGTAAAACTCTACTGGATGCTCGTGATCTCCGGGCCCTTAAACGTCACTGCACCTCAAACAGGAATGCCACTGTCAAGGAAATAACAGAATGGGCTCAGGAATACTTCCAGAAAGCATTGTCAGTGAACACAATCCACCGTGCCATCCGCCGTTGCCAGCTGAAACTCTACAGTGCAAAGAGGAAGCCATTTCTAAGCAAGGTCCACAAGCTCAGACGTTTGCACTGGGCCAGGAGTCATTTAAAATGGAGTGTGGCAAAATGGAAGACTGTTCTGTGGTCAGATGAGTCACGATTTGAAGTTCTTTATGGAACACTGGGACGCCATGTCATCCGAACCAGAGAGGACAGGGATAGCCCAAGTTGTTATCAACGCTCCGTTCAGAAGCCTGCATCACTGATGGTATGGGGTTGCATGAGCGCTTGTGGCATGGGCAGCTTGCATGTCTGGAAAGGCACCATTAATGCAGAGAACTATGTTCAGGTTCTAGAACAACATATGCTCCCATCTAGACGTCATCTCTTTCAGGGAAGACCCTGCATTTTTCAACACGATAATGCCAGACCACATTCTGCAGCAATCACAACATCATGGCTACGTAGGAGAAGGATCCGGGTACTGAAATGGCCAGCCTGCAGTCCAGATCTTTCACCTATAGAGAACATTTGGCGCATCATAAAGAGGAAGGTGCGACAAAGAAGGCCCAAGACGATTGAACAGTTAGAGGCCTGTATTAGACATGAATGGGAGAGCATTCCTATTTCTAAAACTGAGAAACTGGTCTCCTCTGTCCCCAGACGTCTGTTGAGTGTTGTAAGAAGAAGGGGGGATGCCACACAGTGGTAAAAATGGACTTGTCCCAACTTTTTTGGGATTTGTTGACACCATGAAATTTGGAAACAACAGATTTTTCCCTTAAATGAAACATTCTCTCAGTTTAAACTTTTGATCTGTGATTTGTGTTCTATTCTGAATAAAATATTAGATGTTGGCACCTCCACATCATTGCATTCAGTTTTTATTCACAATTTGTTCAGTGTCCCAACTTTTTTGGAATCCGGTTTGTACTTCTAAAGATTATTAACTATTGGAGTCAACCTAATACAAGATGGCCGCTACAGCTAAACAATTTTAGAAAACACAAAAATAGTTATAACTCACTCAACTTCACAGGAGGAATTTGGTCAAAACTGGTCATGGTAGTCACTGAGCATCATTCACAACACATACTTGAAGCAATACACATGTCACATCAGTGGTCAAAACATTGGCATTAACTGTTGTGTGTCTGTTAGCAAAATATCTAATGATCCTTTGGATGGATTTAAATGAAACTAAGAAAGTAATCATTGGTAATACTTTTGGAGTCACCCTAATTTATGATGACTGCTGCAGATAATCCACCTTAGACAAGGCCAACGTGGCAGTAACTGTCAAATTTACAGACATTAGGCTGAAGTATGGTGTGGTAGTAGCTGAGACTCATTCACAACTCATACTCCAAGCACTAACACATCTCAACACATTATCTCACATGACATCATGCATATCATTAACAAGGTTAACTCTACCTCATCACAAAATTATCTTAGTTTAAAAATGTCTAATAAAAGGTAGTGATTAGATTAATTACAAGATATTCATGGTAAATAAAAGTGCCATGTTGTTGTTAATCACAATTTTTGAAAACCATGAATAACAAAAGAAAAGGTCCGTCTTTCTCATGATAATATTTAAGAACAGTTCAGTAACAGTATAAACCAAACATAGAACAAATGTATTCAATGAATGAACCGAGATTATTGTTGGTACACAATCACATGCAAACTTACCAAGATAGTACATGTTCCAGATGACATATTTATATTTGAAGAGCATGTCCTCGTTTTTAGCCTTGATGTTCTCTGTCAAACCTTCTATGTCACATTTATACAGCAGGTCCAACACGAGTATGCTGGGCACCCTGAGGGCTACGTTGGCCACCTCTTCCAGACGAAACATCTTGATTACAAACACGTTTTAGGATCAGCAGAGAGTCTGAATCACATTTACAAGAACCAGCTTCACAACAGTCGTACTTGTCATCTAAAAAATACACAAAATACACAACTAGTGAGGCTACAAGAATCTTACTTACTAAGCTTCTAAAATAATGTTGTCTTTTATCGATTTATTTTAACAGTATGAAAAACTCGAAAAGCACATACATTCTGTAAAGTTGTTAAACTACAAGTAACACTTACTTCGCTCAGTGACAGATATCACACAGCCGAGCAGCCATTTGCTAACTAGCCCACGCTAGTTGCTGCAGGTCACTTTTCTCTGCAATCATCCCCATATTTTTACAGCTGTGCTCTCAAAATATTGTTTTTGTATAAATTCCAACTCGTTAATTTTCTATATATAAGTGTCAACGAAATAGCGAAATTAAAATGTTAAATTTAAGCCACATGACGGGTAAAGTGACTTAAATGCAATGTTATGATTTCGCTCAGGCGCTTGCGTGGACATTTCCTGTGTACACGTCACGTCTACAACAAGCCAATCAGGTGCGGGCGTGTAACATTTCAAAATAAAAGTTGTGTGTCTGGGTCGTAATGCATAAAAGTTATTAAAAAGTTATTACACCTTTAGCTATTTTCTTGTCAGGAACAATAAGTAGATACGGTCAGGGAAAAAAATCTGTGTAGAAAATAATATAGTATTGTTTTAGAAACTTCATATTTTATGTTTTTCGTTTGTTTATGATTCTCGTCATGCAAATTAATTATTTTAAGAATACACAGGTGGAGAACGTGAAATTAAAACTAGATGCTCTATGTCAACCATAATTTTATTGATACAGAAACATGAAAAATGGAGTATGATTTAAAAAAAATTCAGCAATTATTTAGTTGTCTATCTGCTTCATCACGTTAATAGGAAAAATACACCATACTCATAATGTACAAGATGTTCTAAATTCATTCAAACTTTATTTATACAGGTTAGTCTCATTGATCCGCAGGGACTCATTTACAAGAAAGACCTGTGAATAAAGGCATTCACTGACATTTTGAAGGAATTTTCATTATTTTGGATTATGAAATTTATTATCATACTCTGACATGGTCTGATCATTTTCGGTCCCAAAACTTCTTCATAACCGTTGTCTTCACAGGTTTTTTTAAGAAGATCAACCTATTGATGCACCACAAAAAGTACATTTCCCACAGAACAAAATAGAAACCTTAAAGTTTCTTTTACAAATGAAAGATGTAGAATGGTTTCTTGGAAAAGAGGTGACTAATAACAAAAAAATGCATTTAATGACCGAGCAGCTTCTAAGCTGCAAAACTCAATGATTTTATCTGGAAGAAGAAAAGAAGCTTTCTAACATTTGTTTCTAAAATTCTAAAACTACACATGAAGCAAACACACATTTTTCAAGTGGGGTGATTCTAGGATCTGACCTTTAGGGGTGCTTTCGCCCCCAGTGCTGACACTTTGGCTCTTGGCTTGAACAATGCGGTGACCATGTAAGTTCAATATTAAAGTTATGTCATTGGGTCAGACAAGTATGTTTGCACTATTTGCACACATACAAACATTTTGTACTAAACCACTCCAATGTATTCTTCAAATAAGTAAAGCAAACAAACACTGTACATAATTCCCTTTCAGAAATATTATTGAAATATTTCTAATTATTTAATGATGCATCACCACTCTGCATTTAGAATTGTCCGTTACAAAATATCATCCATCCATTATCTTTACCTGCTTCTGCATTTTCGGGTCTCGTGGGTCACTGGTATCGATGTCCAGCCATCACTGTGCGAGAGGCGGGGGACACCCTGGACAGGTCTCCAGTCCATCACAGGGACACATAGAGACAAACGAGACAAACAACCATTCACTCTCTCTCACACCTAGAGACAATTTAGAGTTACCAATCAGACTAACATGCATGTTTTTGGTCTGTGGGAGGAAACTGGAGTAAAAACCCACTCGTGCACGGAGAGAACATACAGCCCGGATTCGAACCGGAGATCGTCTTGCTGAGAAGCAACAGCTGTACCAACAGCGCCACTGTGCTGTCCGCAAAATATTATTGCATTGCAAACTGTCATTTAAATAAAAGGTGCCAATAATGTGACTCTACCCCCCCCCCCCCCCCCCCCAATAAATGTATTTAAAATATATAAAAGGTCTTGACTACTGGTTTTTTTTTTCATAACCTGGTTCATATTGCTCTCTCTCCTGGGCTCCTTCTCTATCCTCTACTTGTGCTATCAAACTAAAAGTAATGTCAAGAATTTGACATTCCAAGAAATACAGGCCAGGTTACGCTCATCAATATTATATTTACATGTTTTTTTTTTTGTTTTTTTTTATATTTGTTTATTAATCTGCTCAGTGGGGTTGTTTATATTCCCTTACCTGAACGTGGTTGTGGGCCTATTCTTTTAAAAATGAACAAATGTTAATCTATGGAAAAGTAGATATTATGAGTCAGGGTTCTGCTGTTCCACTGTTTCAGTTCACTATCCATGATGTGGGCGGCCCACACCAGTGGTTAATTTGAGCCGGGGAGGACGGAGGAACAAGATCGCATTTACGCATGGAGGTGCTGCAACAGAGTCCTTCTCTCCTCCTCCTCTCCAAGCATTGTCTCTCCTCAGCGCTGCTGTCAATGTAAAACACTCCCTCTCCCCTCCTCTCAGATCCCCAATCACTTAAGGGTGGTGGGGAGGTTCCAGCTTACATGAAGCTGCAGAATTGATCAATTCAACAACAGAAACAATAATTTATTCAACAGAATAAGCAAGAAGATTTATTTCATGTTCATGGATGATAATTTTCAGTGTCTGGGTCGTGGACGGCATGTCCTGCGAGTCAGCTTCTTCATCCAACACATTCATTGACAGAAATGTTTGATGTGTTATTCACATTATATCACATTTCAAAACAAAGGTGCTTATTTGTCAAAATAACAACAGTAATCAAAATGTCAGAAAGACAATTTACTTTAATAAAAAAATGGATGGATGATCTTTAGTTGGACAACTGAGAATTGAAGCCTGCAGGTGCTTCAAAGGAGCAACAACCAGGACTGAATTCAGAGAAGAGTTCAGCTCAGAACTGTGAAGTGAAGGGAGGGGGTTAGGACACCTGACATAATCGGAGCTGATTATTCTCTCTATACTCTCATTTCCCCTCCAACTCATGACCCATCCATCCCACCTCAATCTGTAGCTCTATCTGACCATTTTGAACCCATCACTCTATCTTCTCTAGAGCAGGTCATGTGCAGCTTGAAACCTTCTGGTTCCCCCTTTGATGTGGTCCCACCTCGACTACTAAAGGAGGTTTTTCCTACTCTAGGTCCGTCCATTCTTGCTATTGTAAATAGTAGTTTATCCACTGGCATGGTGCCAAAAACCTTTAAACATGCTGCTGTCCAGGCTCTCCTGAAAAAAACAAACCTTGACCCCTCAGTCGTATCGAACTTCCAGCCTGTCTCCAAACTCCCATTTGTTTCAAAACTACTGGAGAAAATAGTTGAGTCCCAGTTGAAGTGCTTCCAGGAGGGTCACGCTATATTAGAGCTATTCCAATCTGGCTTTAAACCTCTCCATAGCACTGAAACTGCCCTGCTGAAGTTTTTTTAATGACATCTTCTTATCCACAGATACTGGCGATTCTGTGCTGCTTGTTCTGTTGGACCTCACAGCCGCCTTTGACACCATCGACCATGAGATCCTCATTGCTAGGTTGGAGCAGTGGGTGGGCATCACAGGATCAGCCCTCAATTGGTTCAGATCTTACCTCACTGACAGATCCTTTTGTGTCTCCATCAAGGATTTTAGTTCTGCAGCGGCAGAGCTTAAATTGGGGGTTCCGCAGGGGTCCATCCTGGGTCCCCTCCTATTCTTTTTATACCTGCTGCCACTTGGTGCTATTTTCCGGAAACACAACATACCATTTCATGTCTACGCCGATGACTGTCAAATTTACTTCACCCTAAGACACAATGGGACATGCTCTATTCAACCTCTGCTCGACTGCCTGGCTGACATCAGGGACTGGATGGCTTTAAATTTCTTAAGTTACAATGAAAAGAAGTCTGAAGTCATGTTGTTCCCTCCCAACGACACAATCTCAAACTGCTGCATTGCCCTTTCCGCTCTAACCCTGTCAGAAAAACAAAGAGTCACTAAACTGGGCGTGATAATGGACCCTTCCCTGAAACTTAACAATCATGTAAACATGATTGTGAAATCATGCTTCTTCCAACTGAGGCGGCTGTCTAAACTGAAGCCCATATCATCCAAAACTAACCTGGAGACAGTAATTCATGCATTCATTACATCTAGGCTTGATTACTGCAATTCGCTCCTGTTTGGTATCAGTCAGACCTCCATTGCACGACTACAACTGGTCCAGAATGGAGCAGCCCGATTTTTAACCAGTGCAGGCAAAAGAGAGCACATTACTCCAGTTTTGGCCTCACTGCACTGGTTACCGGTTCACCTTTGAATCCAGTTCAAAATACTCCTGTATGTCTGCAAATAGCTGAACAGTTCCCCCC